AATACATATATAGTATACACATTGCATGTTAGCTTTCGCTTTTGTGTCTTGGCTTTTGTAGCTTATTTCTAAGCGTCTTTTAGGTTCGACGAATGGGGATCTGTCAATATAATCATTAACTTTCCAGTTTATTAAGAATAGGGTTCATAGTTTTGCTACAAATTATGTTTACGTCTTTTTTCTAAGTGCCTCCCCATATCAGTCCCTTTGAATTCGGTGATGAGCCTGCCAACTTTGGCGATTCGGTGACCGTGCAATGCACCATATCGAAGGGCGATCAACCGGTGGACATCACCTGGTTTTTCAACGACTATGCTATCAACGAGTACCATGGGGTCACCACTTCGAAGATCGGCAAGAAGGTCAATGTGCTGACCATTGATTCGGTGAATGGAAACAATGCGGGAAATTATACGTGCCGGGCCAGGAACAAGGCCCAAATGGTGGAGTACACTGCTGCCCTGATTGTCAACGGTGGGACAGAGATTCAAATCGATATGCATATCCCTTAAAGTAGATAGAGATCATCTTACATGGATTTTATTTCCTTTTTTTGTTCGTTGTTCATTGATTTCACTATTTTCGTTTTGTGTATCCCGCAAGTCTTGCCCCAAATTACGCCCTTTGCCACCGGTTCGCAGCCCACCCATCTGGGCCAGTACATAACTTACCAGTGCACCCTGACGGAGGGCGACTTGCCCCTCAACATCCGCTGGACGTTCAACAACCAGCCCCTTTTCAATGACGAAGACCAGGACATCCTCATCGCCAAGATGGGTCGACGGAGTAGTGTGTTGACCATCGAAAGCGTTGCCGATCGTCATGCGGGCAACTATAGTTGTCATGGGGAAAACGCCGCCGGCAGAGCTTCATACAGCACCCAGCTGCGAGTGATAGGTTTCTGACCCCCCTGTAGTCTTAAGAAGAGCTTCCGTTGATGCGATTATGATTTTATTTATGTGCACCTTTTGTTTTACCATCCCATCACCGAAAAACGTACATCCAGTTCTTCCGCGCATCATACCCTTCGCCTTCGAGGAAGGCCCCGCCCAGGTGGGTCAGTACCTGACGCTCCACTGTTCCGTTCCTGGAGGAGATCTGCCCCTGAACATCGACTGGACGCTGGATGGCCAGCCCATCTCCGAGGACCTGGGAATTACCACGGCCCGCGTGGGTCGTCGTGGAAGTGTGCTGACCATCGAGGCCGTGGAGGCCCCTCATGCGGGCAATTTCACCTGCCACGCCCGCAATTTGGCGGGACATCAGCAGTTCACAACGCCGCTGAACGTCTACGGTTAGGAATTCTCCGGAATGGGAATTGGGTCGCTCGAGTAGTTTCTTTTTGTGGCCGACTACTAACCCTGCGTCTGCAAAATTGTCGCTGCATGACCTTCTGACCATCTGTCTTTTCTGCCGCTGTCCTGACTTTCTCCTTTCTGCCTCTGACCGAAATAGATCCATCACTTTTCTAATGGTATGGCCTGACGCACATTCACACGAAAAAGCTTGCATGTATGACACCGAGACTGCACTGAACTGTAATGACTAGAAATGTTTTAAACATGAACATTTTTTGAAGTTTCTCAACTTCATTTGCCTTTTTTTAAAAGGTGTCATTTTCTAAAAAAGGTTTTCACTGGAAACTGTTTAGGAATTAGTAGGAACTGATTGGTTGAGTTTTTTAATAGCATCTTACAAGAAATTGCAAGATAATTTCTTAGTTGGAGTTTTTGATCAATTAATATAGAACAGAGTTAAAATAATGATATAGTGTATTGCTTTTATTAAATAGTTTTGAAATTTTGAATGTCTCCATCGTTGCTTAGAAAACGTTTGCTGGAACACCTGATAGAAATCAAGTACAATCAGGGTATTACAATATTTTAAAAGGTCTTAAGCCATGGGGAACATTATTTCTTATTTAAAAAGCACATGAGAATAAATTCCAAGCCGATAGGGTCCCCAATCCAAACGAATTATATTTTATGTTTAACTTTTATTTCTCCCACCTCTGTTTAAAACCCCAAATGAAGTGCTCCCCAAGCTGGCCCCTCTGCCCGTGAATTCGCCCCTGTACGTGGGCGACTACTACCAACTGTCCTGCGCGGTGGTGCACGGCGATGCGCCCTTCAACATTACCTGGTACTACAATGGCGAGCCCGCCGGAGATTTGCCCGGGGTCACCATCCTGATGCACGGCAGGCGCAGCAGCTCGCTGAACATCGAGAGTGTTGGGGGTGAACACGCGGGCGACTACACCTGCAAGGGCGCCAATCGGGCGGGCGAAACTACGGCCGAGACGCACCTGAGTGTCAAGGGTTTGTTCGAAATACTCCTCAAGAATTATTGGCTGGAGGTGGTCCCTCCTAGTCGTAGTCTCCTAGCATAGGACCAATGCATCCTGGGCATCTGTAAATCCCCACTCTCTGGCTTTGATTTTGTGTCTGGTGTTGGAACTTCATAAGCACGAACCTGTATCTGTATTATACAACACGAGTTGGGGTACTCGTTTGCAATTCCCCCTGCTGTACAGTGTGTTGACCGATTGCACGGCTTTCTTATCACCCCCTCCCAGAGCTGCCCCAAGTCGACCAGTTTCAGTTCAACGCCAACGGGGTGAACGGCGGTCAGGCGGTGCGGGTCATGTGCATGGTCTCCTCCGGGGACCTGCCCATCGACATCTACTGGCTGAAGGACGGACAGCCGCTGCTGCGCTCCATCTACCACAAGATCGACGAGTACACCCTGATCCTGTCGCTGCGCCAAACCACCATCGGCGACTCCGGCAACTACACGTGTGTGGCCAGCAATGCGGCGGGCTCGGCCAGTCGCTGGTCCATCCTGAAAGTGAAGGGTACTGCCGGACACTCCGTTGTGTATATAGCTTGTTAACTCCGACTTTTTTTGTTTGTATAAAGTTATTTCCATAAAGTATACCCAATATACCTACAAGATTCATAACAATTCGAGTTGAGATAGCATTAAAGATAGGCTTCGAAATGTAGAATGCGACAACGATCACTGTTAAGGTATTGAATTTAAGCACTGCAAATAAATATTTAATACAAATGGTTGGTTTGCTTAAAGTATCGCTTTTAAAAATTGTCAATCATAGTCTTTAGGTTGGTATTTAAAATATAAAAGTCAGGAGGGAATTGGTAAAATTGTTTCTAAAACGGCATCAAAAATTGACTTTTTACAAAACCCCATAACTACAGAGTTAACAATTAGGTAGTTCGAAACCCAGCAAATATTAAATCTCCAGATAATTTAATAATTGTGTTATAACATTGACAGAATAGTTGCAACATTGTATTTATTTTTTGATTGTATTAAAACTGTCTATTTGTTTTCAACATACTCTACATTTAAAATTAAAAAAACTTTTGCAATTACCAACTTCATGGTTACTTCCTATTCCCTCAATAATTTCCGAAGAACCACCTTTGCTGTCTTCGCTACTGCTGTCCGCTTCCGTTTGCGATGTCGGCGACTATGTGCAACTCACCTGCATTGCCAGTCGGGGGGCCACGCCCATTTTGTTCGAGTGGTGGCTAGATGGGCGGCAGGTGCACGATGACGGCGACGATGACGTCACTCAGGCCACAGTGGGCGAGCACACGAGCCTACTGCTAATCAACAGGGCGAGGGAGGGGCATGCGGGGAACTACAGTTGCCGGGCGAGCAACCAGGTGGGCGTGGCAGAACGCCGCGCCAGGCTAACTGTGAATGGTAATTGGGGGGTCCAGATATGCCACTTCCATCTCACCTTTATTCTACCTTTTGCTGCAGCTAATCCAGTTTTTCTCGACTTCCTTGATTTTATCGATATTCCGCTCAATAGGCCAAAGATTGAGGTCCTACATACTTGTGTAAATATGTGAAGATTGACTTTCTTATTCGATTGGGCAAAGTTAGTCAAGATCTAACCTAGGTCCAATGGTATATGTACTCAGCTTATTCGATTGTTATCCATATGTCAAAACAGCTCAGATCTGACTCTGCACCCATACATGCACAGCAAAACCCACACACACACACAGCACTCTACTAAGCACTGTCCCCAAAAAAATTCCAGGGTACGACTCACAGCCTGACAGATCGTGAATCTTTAACTCCTTGCGAGGTTTTGGTTTTTTTTGTAAAATACATGTTCACAGGGCTCATGCTCCAACACCGAATAAACCAAACAACAATAACTGCAAGATCTATTATCATAATCGCTTCTAATTGTCTACTTAACCAAAACTAAACTTAAACGTTACTAAGGAACTCAGTCTTTCACCAAACGAGACTGAGTCTGTGCGCTTCCACAAAACGTAAACAATTCGCCCTGATCTGTCCAGCCCGAAAATAACCCACATATCCCATTCCAATCCTTCATTAATTATTATTAATTTGTATTAATCATTATTTACTTAGATATAGTAACACACAAAACCAAGTCTGTTTGTATAGAAATACAAAACGTATGCTTAAAATCATTGCCTAGAGCAACCTCAAACAGAACTTGGTTTTGGACTGATTGCATGCAATTTAACCTTTGGTTTGGTCTAACTTTAGTTTCATTAATATCCCACTTTCATTTGTCCTTTTATCATCTTGGTTATTTGTGCTAATATTTCGGTTGTAGTTTGGCCTTTTAAGTTCATCTTGGATATAAGTGAATGTCTGGAAGTATTTTATTATATTCCTGTGGATGATCTTCAATCAAAATTCAAGGAATATCATACAAATATCTTCAGACTTCAAAAGAAAACTGAAATGATACGAGATTGTCTTCTAAAACGTTTTTAATCTTAATCTTATTCAATAATTTCATCTAATAAAATAAACATTTTTAAAAACTTGAAAAGATCATTTCACTTTGCTTGAACCTAAGTCCGTCCTTCCGATTTCTCTGACATTCCTTACCTTTTTGCATGCAACAAATTATGCTAAGAAACCACCACAACTTGACTAACATATTATCTTTCCACGAACGCGTCATCAACCAACAGTACCGCCCAGATGGATCCTCGAGCCCACCGACAAGGCTTTCGCCCAAGGTTCCGATGCCAAGGTTGAGTGCAAAGCTGATGGCTTCCCCAAACCCCAAGTCACATGGAAGAAAGCAGTTGGTATGTACAAATCTGTTGAATTCTTTAAAAAAATGGTTAAAGATATCTTTCTTTAGGCGATACCCCCGGGGAGTACAAGGATCTGAAGAAGAGTGACAACATTCGCGTGGAAGAGGGCACCCTGCATGTCGACAATATCCAAAAGACTAATGAGGGCTACTACCTATGCGAGGCTATTAATGGTATTGGTTCAGGACTTTCGGCAGTGATCATGATCAGCGTCCAGGCACCTCCAGAATTTACCGAAAAGCTGCGTAACCAAACTGCTCGACGAGGTGAACCCGCCGTACTGCAGTGCGAGGCTAAGGGCGAGAAACCCATTGGCATCTTATGGAACATGAACAACATGCGACTGGACCCCAAGAACGATAACCGCTACACCATTCGCGAGGAGATCCTTTCCACCGGAGTAATGTCTAGTTTGTCAATCAAGCGCACTGAGAGATCCGATTCTGCCCTTTTCACCTGTGTGGCTACCAATGCTTTTGGCTCCGATGACGCCAGTATAAATATGATTGTCCAGGAAGTGCCAGAGATGCCCTATGCCCTGAAAGTGCTCGACAAGTCCGGACGTTCCGTGCAGCTGAGCTGGGCGCAACCCTACGATGGCAACTCCCCTCTGGACAGGTACATCATTGAGTTCAAGCGTTCCCGTGCCTCCTGGACCGAAATCGATCGCGTCATTGTGCCCGGACACACCACCGAAGCCCAAGTGCAGAAGCTAAGCCCCGCCACCACCTACAACATTCGCATTGTGGCCGAGAACGCCATTGGTACATCCCAATCCTCCGAAGCGGTTACCATCATCACGGCTGAAGAGGCGCCCTCCGGCAAACCACAGAACATCAAAGTAGAACCTGTGAACCAGACAACCATGCGCGTCACCTGGAAGCCACCGCCACGCACTGAGTGGAACGGAGAGATCCTGGGCTACTACGTCGGCTACAAGCTGTCCAACACCAACTCATCGTACGTTTTCGAGACCATCAACTTCATCACCGAGGAGGGCAAGGAGCACAACCTGGAACTGCAGAACCTGCGCGTCTACACCCAGTACTCAGTGGTGATTCAGGCCTTCAACAAGATCGGAGCCGGTCCGCTTAGCGAGGAGGAGAAACAGTTCACTGCCGAGGGAACCCCGAGCCAGCCACCCAGCGATACTGCCTGCACCACACTGACCTCCCAGACCATCCGAGTCGGATGGGTGAGCCCACCTCTGGAATCTGCCAATGGAGTGATCAAGACCTACAAGGTTGTCTATGCCCCCAGTGACGAGTGGTATGGTAAGTAAAGTCGATTTAATCCTTGGGGATAACATTACCCGGTATTAGCAATTAAAGGAAGCAAAATAGCGTATTTCCAGATAAGTTTAATAACAATTTACCTTCTCATTTTGGATTGACCAATACAAGAAGTATTTCTGTATAAAAATAAAAATGTTTTTTTCTTACACCTTTATTAGATGAGACCAAACGTCACTACAAGAAGACTGCCTCTTCCGACACCGTTCTTCATGGCCTGAAGAAGTACACCAACTACACGATGCAGGTCCTGGCCACAACAGCTGGAGGTGATGGCGTCCGCAGCGTTCCTATCCACTGCCAAACCGAACCCGATGGTGGGTCACAATAATGATTAATGTATCTGTAGATCAAAAGTCTAACCACTTTCCTCCAACAGTTCCCGAAGCACCCACCGATGTCAAGGCCTTGGTTATGGGTAATGCTGCCATCCTTGTATCCTGGAGACCACCAGCACAGCCCAACGGCATTATCACCCAGTATACCGTATACTCGAAGGCCGAAGGTGCAGAGACCGAGACAAAGACCCAGAAAGTGCCACACTACCAGATGAGTTTCGAGGCCACGGAGCTGGAGAAGAACAAGCCCTACGAATTCTGGGTGACGGCCAGCACCACTATCGGCGAAGGTCAGCAATCCAAGAGCATTGTGGCCATGCCCAGCGACCAGGTGCCCGCCAAGATTGCCTCCTTCGACGATACCTTCACTGCCACCTTCAAGGAGGACGCCAAGATGCCCTGTCTGGCCGTTGGAGCACCACAACCCGAGATCACCTGGAAGATCAAGGGCGTCGAGTTCAGTGCCAACGATCGCATGCGCCTATTGCCCGACGGCTCGCTGCTGATAAAGTCGGTGAATCGCCAGGATGCCGGTGACTACTCCTGCCATGCTGAGAACTCTATTGCGAAGGACTCGATCACACACAAATTGATCGTGCTGGCACCACCCCAATCTCCCCACGTCACTCTCTCGGCCACCACCACTGATGCTCTGACTGTTAAGCTAAAACCCCATGAAGGAGACACTGCCCCACTGCATGGATACACTCTGCACTATAAGCCAGGTGGGTGATTCTGGAAGACCAAGGGAATGGACTGTCTATATAATACCTAATCACATTTTTTTCCGATTTTTAAACCCCACTTCCACATGTAATGAAACATATTCACTAGGTTTGACTACCAATGATTACATAAATATTTGCTGATTACATAATCAGAGATAAAATGATTTATTAAGGACCCACTTAAAATAATCAAACAACCCCCCTACTCCTTAATGATTATCTTGTATATAGACAGTTCTGAAACAGGAATTAAATGCTTATTAGTTCGGTTCAGTTTCTGTAAACGGACATTCATTAAATAAGCTTCTAAGGAAATCTGCTCCGTTTAAATTTAAAACCTTCTTTCAGAATTCGGAGAGTGGGAAACTTCCGAGGTATCCGTGGACTCACAGAAGCACAATATTGAGAGTCTGTTGTGCGGCTCCCGCTATCAGGTCTATGCCACTGGATTTAATAAGTGAGTGTCCAAATACCTAATGTCAGTTAAAGCCTAATGTCCCTTTTATTTTAGCATTGGTGCTGGCGAGGCTTCGGACATATTGAACACCCGCACCAAGGGCCAGAAACCCAAGCTCCCCGAGAAGCCACGTTTCATTGAAGTCTCCTCCAACTCGGTGTCGCTGCACTTCAAGGCCTGGAAAGATGGTGGATGCCCCATGTCTCACTTCGTGGTTGAGAGCAAGAAACGGTAGATCATAGATTGGGAATACTTTGGAGTTTTATCTTAATATTTAACCTTCGTAGTGATCAAATCGAATGGAACCAAATCTCGAACAACGTGAAGCCGGACAACAACTACGTGGTCTTGGACCTGGAACCCGCCACCTGGTACAATCTCCGTATCACCGCCCACAACTCGGCTGGCTTCACTGTGGCCGAATACGACTTTGCCACCTTGACTGTTACCGGAGGTATTTATGATCTGTTCTCCGGTTTCCAAACGATTCCTGCATTGCTTTTGTACAAAGAGTACTCTACGTTGACAGTGTCGGGGACAGGTCCTGAAAAATAACTCTCCAAGGGCAGCCTGAAAACCCATTGTCTGGGTCTACTTGTCCACTGGAGCAGTTTCAAGATCGCGTCCCCGAAACACTGTCCATATACAAATAACAAGATGAGAAGCACCAAGCTTTACATTGTTGTACACAAAAGATTTCATAAGTTTATTTTGTCTTTACCAATCACAAAAAATGTATAAATTATTTATAAAAGATATGAGCAAATATTGATTTTTTCTGCTTTTCAATGTGAACAAATTGCACAATATTTTAAAATTATTTTTTTTTTGTATTACATTAAGTTTATAAACTACACAAAGCTTGTCGATATAGTTGCTTTAATTATTTTTTGTTTTTATTTTATTGCAAATAGTTATTAATTTCGATTTTTATCTGCCAGAACTCTGAACGCAGCCGCACCCGAATAGTGTAAAATAATAATCATTTCCTTACGTAAATGCAATTTGTTTCCTTCCGTTTTTAACAACAATCCCAATGAAGAGCAACTGCAAAGTAATGTACATAACTGAATAGTTTACTAACTCACCAACCAGCCACGATTTTAGTTTAAATTTATGGTTTACTAGACCCAAGCATTTGTAGTGCTCTAGATCACAGTATAATAAAGTGGACCTCCCATGTCAACCCAATTAAATACTCGGAAAGTTTTGAACAAACTTTCTTTTTAAAAAGCACTTATTTCTGGAAAAAAATGTCCAGAAAATGTAATTACATAGTTATTAAAGATTTATCATATTGTCTATATTTTTTCTTCTTTAGAAGAAAAAAAACGGACACTGTAATTCATCTTAACACAAAAAACCAGCATGATATATAAATATCCAGAAATCTTTTTGCCTAGAAAAGAATATTTTTATTTATTTAAAAAAAATTATATATAGATGTTATAATTGGCCTTATTGACATGGAACGTCCTTTGTATGATTTTGGTTTTTATTTTTTTTTTATATATATTTTGCATTTCTGTGCCCAGTTTGTGAAAGAGATTTTGTAAATTATACATACTCCCAGTGTGGAATAAGAAAACTGAAAACAAAATAACTGTCGTTATTACGTATACGCAATAAATGTTGTTATACCCGCCGATCCGATCCCGAATTTGTAGATTGTCGACTCCAATCGATGTACCTTCCCGCTAACAAGATATTTAAAATAATTTTCAAGCGGCATCTCCAATTTTTCAGAATCTGTTCATATCACAAACTTAGAATTCCCCATCCACTACTGGTCACAGAATCAATTCATTCACAAAAAAAACATAACATTATAATTTTAGCTAACTTATTTTGCCTTTTATTTGATTACAAATAGCAAAGTGCTCATTTAACAGAAACTTGGAAAAGACAAAGCAAATGTAAACTTAATCCCAAGAATCGAGCAGAGCCACCATACCAAAACAATCAAGCACAACAACCAAAGAATCTTCATTCCTAAAATCTGGGAGTCCTGGCCTGAGAGTCTGATCTGAGAGAGTTGATTTCTTAACATTTTTCTTATCGTTCGACTTATACTTATTACTACAGTCACACGCAGACATTTTGTTTTGGGTTTTTTGCCATTTCGATTCGTTTCAGTTATAGTTATATCAAGTTATAGTTGAGTTCCGCCTAAGTTAGTTGGTTTATTTCAAGGATATTTGTCTCGTTCTTGGAATGCTGTTCCATTCGTTACGTCCAGTTTTTAGCGTTCTAACAAACATACATCATTAACTAGCTTTAAGCGGATCACAAACAAATTGCATTTAAACGTATTTAAAACCTAAACTAAACTGTTTTTATAAAATTACGACTTTTTCAATAGTTTAACTAGTTCTCATAAACTTAATCACATTTTGATGCGTGCTTCAAGTTCTGCGCCATGTAAAATAATCAACAAACCAATACTATAATTACTTTATACTTTTCTCTGTTATGAATATCGAAATTGACATAATATCGACAAGTTAACCTTTGAACTTTCTCACCTGCCACAGTCTGTATTTGTATATGTATGTGTTGAGTGTTTACGAAATGTGCCTGGTACAAAGGTCAATGTGCCAGCAGAGGTCAAAGGGTATAACTGATCTTTCTGTCTCCCCCTCTCTCTCTCTCTCTCTCTCTCTCTGTCTGTGTCTCTGTCTCTATCTGCCCCCACTGTCTTTTTCCCACCCACTGACTTGCCAAAAAACACCCTTTGGTTGTTGTTGTTATTGTTGTTGCAGGCACTATCGCACCCTCGCGAGATTTACCCGAATTAAGCGCCGAGGACACGATCCGCATTATCCTCTCGAACCTAAATTTAGTTGTGCCCGTCGTGGCGGCTCTGCTCGTCATAATCATAGCGATAATTGTTATTTGTATACTGCGTAGCAAGGGCAATCACCACAAAGGTATCTATGCTGACAACTAATTAAGAATTTCGATCTTTTTTTCGGTTTCTCTCTATATCTCTCTCTGAACACCAAAAAACTCCAACTCCAAACACCCCACACTTGCGCTATTGTCATGAACAAAAAAACAAAAAAAATATTGCCTGTACTGCCTGCCCCATATCCCTATTCGTTGTTGTTTTCGGCTATGTATTGCATGTGCGAATCCGGTTTGTATGTCCCAAATGAATCTCGAAAGGCACCATTGCGCCACTGGACGATGGCACGGGCCAGGGCAACGTGCACACCCGCATCCGACTGCCCGCCTGGATGCCCGAGTGGCTCGACCTGAACTTCATGGTGCCACTGATAGCCACCGTGGTGGTGGTGGCCGTGGGCATCTGCGTGGTGTGCGTGGCCTTATCCCGGAGACGAGCGGACGACATGCGCGGTGGCCAGAAGGATGTCTACTGTAGGTTATCCGCCCAAGGACATGCCCAAAACCGCACCTTTTTCTTACGAACCTTAATCAATTTATTTTTAATTGTAGATCCTAGCTCAATATTTTATTTCTGTTTTGTTTCGTATTGGCTAAATATTGGTCGGGAAATATTTGCAGTGTCAGGTTGACATTGAGAATTGGCTTGCTCTTACTTTAACCCTTTTTCCAAGTTTTCTTATTTAAATGTACAATTTAATTATTAAGAGATAAACACATTTTACAAGTGATAATCTCGGTTAGAAAGACAAAACCATTTAGTATTTTTGACATAACAATATCCTATCAACTTTTTAATTCTTGAAGAAAAGAAATAAATTAAGAATTTTCAGACTTTAGACTTTTTGAGTTTTACATACCCACCAACAATTTAGCCAATATGCCGACAGGTTTAGCCGTCACTCTTTAGTAAAAAATGATCAATTTTAAACATTTATTTAATGGAATGTCAGTGTGTAGTTTGGCTTTGCATGATTTACTTAAATTTGTTGAAACATTTATACAAGCTACACTTACAAAAAGAAACCAAAAGTTTGCACTTCAAAAATATACCAACACAACATCAAAATACTGAAAATATACCAAACTATTCAAATATATAATACCTATATAATATATTCAATTAGTGTCCATATCTGTGTGTTCATATAAAATCCATCATCGATATTTCATCGTCATTGAAACCAATTGGCCTATCAATTGCCAAATATGACTTGAAAGGTGTATTAAACATCTAATAACGTCTGAAGAATAGATTAATTTGCAAACCGAATTGTAAACTAATTTATTCACAGTTGTTATTGGCCCTGTGAAGTACAATATTTATATGCAATATTAGTTAATCCCAATTAACGATATATTTATACTAGCCCTATTGTTGTACATACGTTTTGCTTATGACCTGAGCAACTTTAACAATCGAAAATTAAATATTACTACTCTATCTATATCTACAATCATATCCTCCACAAAACAAGACAAATCAAATCTATCGTATTCGTTTTTGAGTTCTGAATACTTTCCGTACTTTCCCCCTTTTTATATACAACCAAAACTAAGATGCTTTTTGAGATCACCATCGAGATCCTTGATCGATGATTAAGTAAAGTCGAGTTAAATCCAAAATTAAGTTCATCGCTCATTTCATGTCATTGTTAACAATCGTAATCGTAATCGTTGACCAGTTGGTATATTTTAAAATCGAAAACAAATAACCAAAACACTTCACGTAACCTCTTTTGGAATCCTTTTTCGCAATCGTAACTTGTATTTTTGAGCTACTACTTAGCACATTTAGTGTGTTGACATGCCGCACCAAAACCAAAAAAAAAAAAAAAACCAAACAATAAAAACCGAAAAGTTAATTGTAAAATCCAGTAACGAGTGACGCAACAAGTCGAGATCGAAAACAGAAGTAAAGTATGCGAGTTGATTGAATGCGAGCAGCATATAATGAAGGAAAAGCATCTTCAGTGTTTCAATATTGAGTTGGCGATATCATATATTAATTCTAGACGATGTAGTTTACAATCAGACAATGGGACCCGGCGCCACCCTGGACAAGCGTCGTCCGGATCTGCGGGATGAGCTGGGATACATCGCCCCGCCCAATAGGAAGCTGCCCCCTGTTCCCGGATCCAACTACAACACCTGCGACCGGATTAAGCGAGGTACAGTCATAAGTAAGCATCTAAATTTCCAATGCAACATTTATTAATGCCGCCGATCCATGTCCGGGTCTTTGGCGAAGGCTCCTCAGATCCCTGGGCATGGAATGGGGCTTAGTTCTTTCTTCCATTTACTTTGCGAACGAAAAAGACACACGAAATGTATTTTGCGTTGCTTTTGCATACACTGAGAGGTGTAGACCACATCTGCCCAACATACCACACTCAAGCTAAGCTTTTCCGGACCAACAAAAATTCTTAGTGTTGCTTTTTTAAGCCGCTTCCTTATAAGTTTCCCATACTCCCTGGCATGAAAAGAACTATAAAGTGAACCCATTCTTAAATGTTGTTGTAAATTTAGAAACATTGTTTAATTTTGCATATTTCGGTTTGGGATTATCCCAGCTTTTATTGAAATTATACTTATCGTTTAACCCTCTTACTTCCCATGCACCTTCTCCAAATCCCGCACCACTTCGGTTGCTTCAATTCGATTATGATTTCCATTGACTTATCATTGATGTTGTACGAAATTGGAAATTGAAAAAATACCACACACGAAACGAACCCATCCACACCACACCCTGAATCACACAAAAACCACTCTGCGAATTGTCCAGGCCGCGGTGGCCTGCGCTCGAACCACTCGACCTGGGATCCCCGGCGTCCCAACCTGTACGAGGAGCTGAAGGCGCCGCCAGTGCCGATGCACGGCAACCATTACGGCCACGCCCACGGCACCGCCGAGTGCCACTACAGGCATCCAGGTAGGCGGAGCGAAGAGGAGGAGCAGCCTCTTCCTTCTACGCATTTTAGTTAATTACTCTCCCAAAGAAACCCCACTAACCCCACTTCCCAACCTTTTTGAATGGAGGGGGTCGATTTAAAATATTCTTTAGTAACTCATTTTATCTGTGTTCTACTTTACTGTCCCCTAAAAGAGTAGTGTTCAGCCCACAATGTCGCTAAGATTTGGGTTCAAAGCACCCATAACATATAATTCCTCTTTGGTGTTAACATATCTTAATCGCTAAATCAAAGCAATGCAAATATAAGACTTTTCTTGGTATCATTACGTATTCAAATCCGATATTAAGGTTTTAACTTTTTCTAGACAAGTTAGTCTTGTAAGTCTTGATATATAAATTGGCTTTGGAACTGCTTACACTTACACATTTTAAATGTTTACTTACAAAATTGAAAAAAAAATAATTAAATTATATCGACAACAGAAAAGTTACCATTTATTCTGTCATAAAAATCGATCCCTCCTGACATTGACATACTTTTAAGTTACTTTACCCAAACTAACATAAAGTCTAACTCCCGGTCGCACCCAGCTAACTCAAGCTAACAACTAGTAAGTAATCACTAGGTATCGGAAAAAAAAGGGGTAAAAGGTATCATTGCAGCATACTAAAAACACTAAACCAAAGCCACTCAAACAACACTTACCCTATCAAGGAAAACACACGTACTAATCGAATTCTTTTCCCGGAAGGCATGGAAGATGAAATCTGCCCCTATGCCACGTTCCACCTGCTCGGTTTCCGCGAGGAAATGGATCCCACCAAGGCCATGAACTTCCAGACCTTCCCCCATCAGAATGGACACGCAGGACCTGTTCCCGGACACGCGGGCACCATGCTCCCGCCAGGACATCCCGGACATGTGCACTCCCGCTCCGGATCGCAGTCGATGCCGCGAGCCAATCGCTACCAGCGCAAGAACAGCCAGGGCGGACAGTCCTCGATCTACACACCAGCTCCCGAGTACGATGATCCCGCCAACTGTGCCGAGGAGGATCAATACGTGAGTATCCAGCTGATTCGAAACTGCAAACAGATATATAATGTATATATACCTGAACCATAGCGCCGATACACCCGCGTCAACTCGCAAGGCGGCAGCCTGTACTCCGGACCCGGACCCGAATACGATGATCCCGCCAACTGCGCCCCCGAGGAGGATCAGTACGGCTCCCAGTACGGAGGTCCCTATGGACAGCCCTACGATCACTACGGCTCACGAGGATCAATGGGACGTCGCAGCATCGGTGAGAAGAGTAAATCGATGCATTTTAAGACTTAGGGTCGATTTCTTATTGTCATGTTAAGGTTATGGTTTGTAATCTGTGAAAGAGAGTTAATAATTGAAATTGTTTGGAAACATAAACTCGGTCTCTGAACGTTATGTTCATTTTTGGAAATACAAATCTTCACAGCAAATTAACTCAATGTCAATTCTTAACATGACATTGAGAAATCAATCCCTAACATACATGAATACTCGGACTGAATGTTAAGCCAATTTAAAGATTCCTTCTGTACTTTTTATACCCAAATTAAATAATTAATATAAACATTGATTAACAGGATCTGCTCGCAACCCTGGCAATGGATCGCCCGAGCCTCCACCACCACCACCACGTAACCATGACATGAGCAACTCCTCATTCAACGACTCCAAGGAGAGTAACGAGATCTCAGAGGCAGAGTGCGATCGTGATCACGGACCACGCGGAAACTACGGAGGTATGTTATGTGTACTTGCGTCATCCGAAAGGATGTTTAAGTCTTTACTACATTCAATATATCTAACATTCGCCGGTATACGTTTGAATGATCGGTCCAATTTTAAAACTTTCAATTCGACATCTTTTTCAATTCTATCTTTTTGAAAATTTGTGTAAAATATAATTCAGAAGACTCCAATGAGGGTGAGTGATCCAATCCGAAGTTGAGTTAGTTTGTGTGATTATCACGATCATTATTCGACAACCGATCACCTCTCATACTTCGATTTTTCACGAGCCCTTCGCCCAAGTCGTTCATAATCAACTAATTATAATCCATAAGATAAATCCAGTTATCATTGAACTTTTGTCATTATCATTGAAAATGTCCACACATTTCTCAGAGATTTTTTTGTTATCTCGCTCATCAGTAAATATTCATGCTGTGTTTTGCTAAATTATTTAAAAGAACATCAACGTGTTAAATGTCTTGAGTTATTTCAATTTTTCTTGGTTTTGGTACACATTTTTTTATGTTTGTTTACTATATTATTAAGATCCAATTGTATTGCACATTTTACATTTCATTTCACTTCATGGAGCACACCGTTTGCATTTCAATGTTTTATGTTTGTATCTAATCATGGGTTGACTCGAATTAATTGTGACTAGAAATCTGCATGGGAGGACTTTATAGAAGTTCGAACAAGTATAGATAAGGGGGATCCGCACTTATTTTAAAGGTACCTGCACGACGTTATTCGTTAAACGCCGATTTACGTTTAAGCTGATCTTATTTTTATGATTTCATCTTCATTCCGAATTTTTCTTTCTATTTTCTTTTATGGAACTTTATTAAATTTGTATATTACCCTAATCTATCGGTTCGGGGAACACAAACCAATTTCTTTTGCAATATTTTGAACCCCAAAATGCTGAACTCGCAGCAGTGAAGCGATCCCCACAACCGAAAGATCAGCGCACCACCGAAGAAATGCGTAAACTGATTGAAAGGTAAGACCAGGCCACGAGGTCTGCCCATAAATAATCACAACCCAATCACACGTAAACATCAGTTGTTGAGACAATTGCACAGAAGTCGTTGATGGTGCAGTTCTTCTTTCACTAATCGCAATTAATTAATCTTCCTTTTCTTTGTTTACTAAATATCCTAATTGTGAATGATTTTAATCGCTGACACTAGTCGACGACAGTTGTAAGTCTTGAACAAAGTCCTAACTAATCACGAATATCCGGCATGCCCACGCACCCATACAATACTAACCCAGAGTGCATCCAATCTTCACATCTATCTTATAACCCCACTTGAGTTCTTGTTTGTACTTTAATTTTAATGGTTTTGGTTTCGTCTTTAATTTGTTTTTGGTTTGGATTTTGGTTTGACAGCAAATCACAGTTGAATGTTTTGAAATCCTTTTGATAAACTACTCCATATGATAAGCAGACCCTATACCATATCTGTCTATCGCAAATTACTCAAGTGTTTCCATAAGTACTCGTATTAACAGTTTATTGCAGCTTTGCGCTTGGCCTCAGCTTGCCAAAAACAAAAAAACAAAAACCAGAAGTAAACTATGTTAAGCCACGAACAGAACATAAAGACACGGCCAACAAGGCGAGATGGGTTCACTTTGGAGTCTTAGAAGATCCGTAGAATAAAGCCCTCTGAAGATCCCATCTCGTTTTCATGCAATGCTTTGGTTGCAGCATAAACATAATCCTTATACTCTTGCCAAAGTACTCCTCTAATCAGATATATCTTTTCACGTGCAGAAACGAAACCGGCCCAAAACAACTCCAACTCCAACAAGCAAATGGCGCAGGATTCACAGCCTACGATACTATGGCAGTGTAATTTGTAAGCCCCTCCTCCGGTGATGGGCGTGGCATTTTAGCTTAGTGTTTTAAGTGCATGAAGTGCGTGGGAGTTGAATGACACTCAGACAGACACTCACACAGGTACATACACAGACAGATCATCACTACACACGGAAAAAGGGGGAGTTATATACCGCATATACACATAAATTATTCAACTACTTCAAGTAATTATAACGGAAAGAACCGAAATTTCAAGAAACATATTGATATTGTCTATGCAAGCAGCAAACCAAACATACATAAATATATATATAAATACATTCATATATGAATAACTACTATAAGTGTGTGCAGTAAATACTAAAGGAAATTACTAAAAGTTATACGAGAGATAACACAAGAACAGCCCGATGAAAAAAAAAAAGAAAAGAAATCACAAAAAACATACTTATGTATTCGCGTATAAATATTTGAAAAATAATTTTTAACAATGTATTTTAGTTCTAAGCGGTCTACCGAAATATCAGAGGAACAGCAACTACGATGAATCCTTGTGTGTAAAGAGAAGATTGATTTCAAAATCTGTTTGTGTAAACTTTTGCCATCTATGCCAGGAGCAGAAAACTCATCCTTTGCCTAGCCTAAGTCAAAGTCATAATATTAACTCGTCTAATTGATATACTTAGTCATAACATATACGAATTGTATGATTTCTTTCTATGCATTTTGTAACTTGTATGGACAGCGCACATTTTGAGTTTAGTTTGCGTTTTGCGTTGACTTGTGATGATTGTTAATTTTTAGAACTTTGTGAGTCAGTAATTTTATTCTGTATTCGCCTTATTCATTATTTATAGACATGTAATTGTCTAATTATATTTTAAATTTTATTTCTAATTTGAAAAGCGCTTCCAACAGAACAAATCGAAAACTGTTCAATGCACAAATCGCAGCCACAACATTTGAATGTATTATACAAAATCCACAGGACACTCAAAACCCACAAAGATACACACTTGCACGATTTATTAAGACCAATTCTGATATATCCCGTTTTGAACATGAGTTATACGCATTTGAAGCTTTAAGAGAACCTGAAATTGTTTATTTCACTTCATTTGGTCTATTTTAAGTTATTAGTTCGTAAGTTGCTAAATATATGATTTTGATTTTATTTAAAATTTTGATTGTCCTTTTTTTGGTTTTTAATTTGTTTGGGGTTCCGCCCATTGCGCCCAGAAAATCCTTGGAGATACCACCAACACTACAAAGACTGACTAATGCAAGCTGAAAACGAAAACGGATCAATCCAAGTTTTGCAGAATGAAGCCAATACGAAGGAGTGAGAAAGGAACCCAGTATTTTGCTCAAGAGGCAGAAATAGCAAAGCATTTTCGAGGTAACTCCATGATGCTTCAGCAGGGCACTGCCATGAGATCGGAATTGGATTTTGATCCTCGACCTTTGGGCACATCATAAAATGCATTTAACTAATGGGAGAAGAAAACACTTTTAAAGTTCTTTACTAGATTTATGATTTCATTTAACTCTCTTTCGGTTCCCACTTAACCTATCCAAATCAATACTCTCTTACCCAGACTTTACCAGTTTTATATAGATATATACGTATAAATAAATGTAGTGTTGTGAGAATACTAAGATTGCTTAACTATATGAATGTACTACAAATTTTCATGGCAAACGAACTACAAATATTAAGTAGTGTATAGTAAAGGAAACGGCATTTAATCAATAAACAATGGAAAGGGAAAACACCTACAAATTTTCAAGTAATTTAAATAGCAAGCAATATTCTAGAGTCAAGAGAACGTTGGATTTCAGAAATTGTAACGAAGAAACAAGATTTTAATTACCCTCATAATAATAATAAACTTTTCGGCAAATCAAAATCAAAACACAAAACTTTTGGCATTAAAAAGAAAAACGAATAATTAAACAAAGCGGTTTGAAAATTAAACAACTTAGGATAAGTATGGTAACATTACATAAAAACCACATAATCCATTTTTCATACTATTATATCATGCATGAATAATTCAACTCAAATCGAGTCGAACGCTTTTTGAGTTGCTTCATTGTCAGAAGGGATTATGACGAAAATTCACTTTTTGCATTTATTAAACGGCGCTACATACTTGTAATTATTTAAGCGATAAGCGTACATGCATATACAAACATATACAAATAATTTTTTACTTAACTTTACATAAAATGCATTAATCAAAATTTAGCTCCCAAAAGAAAAACATTATTGAGAAAGTCAGACACAACATCTCACACACTTATATACAAAAGGTACATTCAACTTCAACGCACATCAGGCTCGAAATCGAGAGAAACTAAGCACGATCAGCACACATTTGAATTCTGTAACCAAATGGGACAAGCAGTTTAAAACGCATTTATACTAATCACTCGCTCCTTCTTAGCAGAACGAATATTATATGAAATTAAGAGAAAAATCAATACCCCCAAGTGGAAACATTCGTAATCATTAAGCGCGGCATTATATGGTAAACCCCAAATTGAATACTACAAATATGTGTATTACTAATTACAATTACGAAAGCATAAATATATTAACTATATTAAATATTGAATGTATTGAATTGACAAGTATCGGCATGCCCGGGTAAAAACATCTCGCGCCCGATCCGATCCATGTGGAACGGATTGGTAGACCCCACCCAAAACTCGATCACTTTGCATGCCCGACAAGCGACAGAAAAATATATTGTCAGTTTCCAGTTTCAGTGTCATACAAGTCAAAAAGAAACCAATTAAAATTAAATAAATGCCAATTTATGTTGGATAAAACCAAAAAACCTTTCTTTCGAGCTTATTTTCACTGGTGGGTGCAACATTTATATGAATATAAAGGTTTTAAATAGATTTCCATATATATAATCAGCAAGAAAGTATGCAAAGGTTTTTTCTCTTATTTTTCAATAGCTATATTTTGCAAGCATACTTCTAAGCTTTGCTTCGTCATTCAGTTGGAATTATAAGATCAAATATTTGTATTGCAGAAAACCCGTTGGAAAACGAAAAAAACAAAAAAGTGAGTTACCATGGATATTTTAGGAACCTGACTTTAATTATTCTATTATTTATTTAAAAAAATATTCGTTCAGTAAATTTTGTTTTGTGAAAGTTAAAAAGTCCGTAAAATTGTTACCCTCATAAAAAATTATTCGTTTAATAATTGTTTTATTTATTTAAAAAATCTTTCTCTATAGACGTTCTTAAGAAAAAATAGAATGATATCTATATACAAGACAATCCTTGAGAGGCGATATTAATAATTTAAGGAAGTTCAAACCATTTAGCAAAACTGTATAAAAACAGGGGTTATTAACCTTTGACAAAATTTGAAATCATATTTTTGTCTATATTAACACTAAAATCGAGGTTTGCTGAATGATTGTAGCTACTATTTTTCTTTAGCAATTATATTTTTACCCACCATAGAGGTTTCCTCCTTTCAATTGACAACAGATGACTGTAAAAACTTTGAAATTTAGGACAACAAAAACCAGCCTTTCCAGCCGTTGTATTTGCACCTAAATGTTTGACCACGGGAGCCAGCACTTGGGATTTGCACATCCAGTTAGCGGCTGCAAGCTAAGCTCTCTGCAAAGAACAAGTGCTGATGCAAACACTGCAAGTTGGCCATGCCAATAGCTCACTGGCAGCTCACTCACTGACACCTGCAGGTCCAGATCTGCAGAAGTTACCCAAGTTGTGGCCATCATCATTATTTGCATACGAAGGCTTGCGGTGATTGCCCAATTCAATCAAAACCCATTTACAATTCACACTCTCCGGCCAAAGGTCTTGCGTAATATAATTATTTATTGCAAAATACGATGATTTATAACTAAATGTGGCTCATTAAATATATATCCAAGCTGCCATGCCCACATTTTGAGGAGGCCTTCCCAATAAAACCATGTGGATGTGGTCGGTAGTTAAGCAAAGGAAAAAAAAAATGAAAATTATTCGCAAACAATTGCGATTGGCGCCCGGCACATCCAACAATTGTGCATTGTCTTCGCTACTGTGACGCGGCTGCATAACAGAAATTTCAACATGCAAATGGGCGGAGGGGACAGGGGAATTGAGCGTTTAAGCGCTAAATGGCCTGCGAGCTACTGGCGATGGAAACATGACAAATACTCCCATCAAATATTGATCATTTAGCGTATCAGTCGCAGAACTCTTGGGGAAGTCATAAACTGCAATTGTCTTGAAGCGTTGCCATAAATCTACTGAGGGGTGCTGGGGGGGCAGCTGAATGAGAAGAGAAAATAAAATAAAAACAGAGTAAAAAATAATAACAATGTTTGACAATCAAGTCGTTTGCATTTGAATGGCTGGAGGAAGCAACGGGGGCATCCCATGCATGCCGAAAGCGGGCAAACACTGGAGTTGCAAGCGTTGAGCGTCAAGCGTGGCCAACATTTGGATAAAGGGGGCGTGGCAGCAGGTGGAAAAAGTAGGCCACAAGTGGCACTATGGCATAATTTGCATAGGCCAGTACGCATTATGTGAAAGAAAGAAAAGTAAAAAGTTGATAAAGCATAAAGTAAATAACGTTTATTAAATTATAAAGCATTAAAAGGTGAACTTGAAAGGTGAAAGGTGAATCAATTAGGGTCTAAGTACTTAAAGCTGTTGTTTTTTATTTTGATCCCACTTTAGGTTTTCCAAGTACAAATTTTCTTATTTTTAGACTCACAAAATTACTGTTTAATATTATATCAATCGCAATAATTTATTTTATTACCTTTGGAAAATTTAAGTTTTCTTATCTTTTTATTACAACAAGAGTCCACAAAGTAATAAATCATTTTTCACTGCTGATAAGCAGTCGTTAATAGGTTAATTAAATAATCTCATAAAAAACGAAGAAGCTACGGTCTTGGAAAATATGAAAGAAAATACCAAACATCATAACAATACGCATGAAAAGCTTGTCAACGTCTTTATCTGGCACTCATCGAAATTGAATAAATTGGTCAAGACATTGCGGGACATTTGTGTGTTGGCCAAAACGAGTTCGTTGCCTGAGTCTTTTGTTTGGCGGGTAGTGTTGAGACGACGGGTCAGCTATAAAATGGCATTTATATGGATTAGAGATACGCTGCAAGAGCGTTGACAACGCAATCTCGGTGCCGCCCTTTAATCATTTTTAACGGTCTCCTGGCTGCAAGTACTCGAAGAGCACGTCTGCCCTTTTGCAACATCTCGTTTGCCATTTCAGCGGCGTCATGGCATTCGTGGTTAGTTAGTGTCTCAGTTGCCTCACTGCTCGTTTTTCTCATTGCGGACTGCCGCTAATTCACGGCTTCCCTTTAATCAGCCGACGACCTTGCCACACTTGCACACTTGCCTAATGTCACCCAAAAGTGGGAGGCTGTGCCTCTGCACCAGTTCTCCGGAGTTCCCCCTCGTTGTGACCCACATCCCTGGCAAAAAAAAAAAGTCAACAGCCAGTGGCGAGCAATAACCCCGCTGTTGCAGCTTCACGCTCCACGGGCACAGCTCCACATCCATCACGTGCTTCGCGGCTGCGGTTGGCGTCTTGAACCTGAGCCACTACATTTAGTTATTTGTACAAGAAATGTTTCGCTGCCGCTTTTTGCTGGGCATTTTGCTGCGTTGCGGGGCGCAAACAAAAGATTTATTACAATCAAATATTTCTGTCGCTACGCCGCCGCCGTTGTTTTGTTTTGATTTTTGGTTTTTTAATTTTTGTTTTGTTAGCTAAAATTTATTTTATTACATTTTTTCAATTTCTTTCACTCGGCTACGTTTTGTTTCGACTGCGGCTTGTGCAATGGCAGAGATGTAGCTGTTGCTGTTGCTTCAATAATTAAAACAACAACCATTAGGTGCTTCACTCGAATGCGTTAAATGTCGGTTGTTGTTGCTGCTTGTTTATCATTTTTGGTACTCGTAAGTCTAAGCTTAGCATGACACTTGTTTGACGGTTATATAAAAACGCAATGCAGCTCAGCACTAAGCACACGCCATGTCCAACAATTGCAGTCGAACATTTAATAAACATTGATACGGATATTTTGGCTTGTGACAAATTTTGTTGTGGTGGCCCACTCACAATGCAAACAATGGTGTGATAATGCTTTCAAAATTTAATGGAAATCAAATCGATTTCCTTTGTTGCCGACGAAAGCAGATCGGCAGCGACCTTGACTTAATTAGGCGCTAATTGTTCCGCCAAAGAAAGAACCATAAGTGGTTGGGTATGCTCTGTTATGTAATGCGGGTAAATCAATTACCGAAAGTCAAGGAAATCCCCGGAGCGAAGACAAGCCATTGTGCTCATTAACAATAAATTGCATCTGTGGTTTTATCGTAGCTCATCTTTCGCCTGTCAGCCCCATCCACACCCCCTTTAAGCTCATTTGCAATTGTAGATTTGGCGAAATCTCAAGCAACATCATTAGGCAGCGACTACTGACTGAGATTTGGCAACGGAATGTTTGCTTGAACTCGAACTTTTTGTGGCGGTTACCTAATCCCCAGAGCTCCGCAGGCTCCTCGGATTGCAGTTGCAACTGCAACCGGTGCAACAGTTGGCTTCCTCTGCTAACCTTATGCGGGTTTTTCGCCTTTTCGCTTTTTGGCACACAGACACACTGCGCGAAAGCGGGGGGGAGTCAATTAAAGCAACATGTGGCAACCGACCGAGTGACTTGAAACTGCTGTTAGAGCTGTTAGATGCGATATCACTCCGCGCACTCCCTTCGGCGCTGGACGGTCTGAAACTGAATCTGAAAACGAGACTCCAACTGAAACCGAAACTGAAACTGAGGCTGGGGCAGCTGCATTCAACTTCAACTTGGCAACAGGAAGTGGCAGCGGTATTGTTGCCGCTTATCTGACGCGGAGATGCTTCCTTGAGATTTATTTGGCATCTAGGCAATAGGCATCGCCACCGTCATCCCATCCCATCAACATCATCATCGCCATTGCAGTTGTTGACTTTGACTCATGGCCTTTTTGCCAATCCCAGCTGAACGATGTTGCCGACTTCTTTGGTTTTTTCGGCACTTATCTAACTTCCGGGTGACGTGGGCCGAAATCGAACTTTTATGAGTTGCATCTTCACTGTAATGGCCGTCAAATCAACGCCGAAACGACCGAAAATGTTTTATCCACCAACTGGGAGCAACGATTCATCCCATCCGATGTCTGAAGATGCGCCAAGTTGGTAGTTTACCTCGAGCCATAATTAAAAGCATTTAGTTTTTATGTTTTTGTTTATGTTTATTATTAACGTTATAGTAGTTTTTATTTTTGTTTTAAGCTCTACAAAAAAGGTTCGTGTGTGGTCCATATGGGGTTTATAATTAACTTTAAGTACATATTTACAAAACAATTTTATTCACCGCTTTCGCAGGCTTTTGTAACATTTTTGCCCATATAAAAATACCAAAAGTTGTTATAATTTTTGTTGTTTTATTGAATTTCGTATAACTTAAAGACAAAAACGCGCGCATGACTAATTTGTACACTTGGGAGAGACAGCGATGACAGGGGCGGGAGATGGGTGGTAATGCCAACAGATAACGAAAGGTATGAAGTGTTTTGTACAAAAATGCAGGAGGGACATGGGATGGCTTACAACTTTAAGTCTATGTAACAATTTCAGCGGGTTGGGTTGTACACAAAGGCGGTCTGCGGAGGAGTACGGGGCAGAAGCGGACCGCAGACCGCGGGGGCAGCGGGATCAGTTATCAGATATCAGTGCTGTCGCCTGGCTGGCGGCCAAGCGGAGACCCCCGCCGCGGACCTAGTCCCATCCGTGGCCATGGCTCACCGGCACCCACACCTTCTCCCAGACGGGCTTCCACACCTTCTTCCACTCCTGCACCTTGACCTCCTTCCACACGGGCACGTTCACCGACTGCCACTCGTCCTTCCACGCCTGCTTCTTCTCGGTGGCCCACACCTGGCGCTTCTCGGTGCGCCAGATCTGCACCTTCTCCTCGATCCAGGTCTCGCGCTTCTCCTTGATCCAGATCTGCTTCTTCACGTTCTTCCAAACCTGCATGGGAACCCTTAAGTAATAATCTTTCTAGGCCATTGTCTTTGAGGTAAACGCACCTGAACCCACTCGTCCTTCCACTCCAGCTTCTTGTCCTGCTTCCACTCCTGGACCTTCTCGGTCTTCCACTCCTGCTTCTTCTCGGTGCGCCACTCCTGTTTCTTCTCGGTCTTCCACTCCTGCTTCTTTTCGGTGCGCCAGACCTTCTTCCACACGGGCTTCCAGACGAGCTTCTTGCGCCAGAGATCGTGGCTGGTGTACTCCCAACCCTCGTGGTCCTTGCCCAAGAATTTTTCACCGGGAATGCCCATTTTCACCTGATAGAAAATCGGGTTTAGTTTGTATTTCTAAGAAAGCTGAGTATGACTTACCCATTGGGGCTCAAACATTTGCTTCCAGTCTGCGACCTGTACTTCCTTCCAGATGGGCACTTGTATTTCCTTCCAGAATGGGACCTGGACCTCCTTCCAGATGGGCACCTGGATCTCCTTCCACACGGCCACCTTGGTGGGAACCCAAATGGGCTTGGTTACCTTCTTCCATTCGGCCACCTTGACCTCCTTCCAGGCAGGGACCTCTCTCTCTTCGATTTTCGGCTTCTTCACGATCTTCCAGTCGGGAACTTGTTCTTCTTTCCAGACTGGAACCTGAAAACAACAATTTTAATATTGTCTCTTAAAATCGAAAGGAGTGTCCTTCGGCCATACCTTAACTTCCTTCCATATTGGGACGGAGACCTTCTTCCACTTGGTTTCCCACGCCTCCTTCTTGACGGTCTTCCACACCTGCACCCAATCCTCCTTCCAGGTGAGCTTCTTCTTCCACACACCCTCGGGGGGGTGGGCGTAGGCTAAACTTAGGATTAGCGCGCAGCTGGCGCTGAGTAGCTATGGGAAAATAGGAAATGGAATGTTATTGGAATATTTATTTTGATTGATTTATTAGAATTATTAATGAAGCACCAAATCGTTCAAATCGGTTTGATTTTTTGTTTATATTTCATATCTTATATTTAACTTTATTTAAATGTCCTTCATGTTTTCATTTAGGTACAATTTTTATAATCGAATTTAAGCTATATTCTTTGAACCCCGAAATAATTTTATTTGGCATTAACTATTTCCAAGACATTAATTTTGACCTTATGTTGAGGTTAATTTTGACTTAAACTTAGTTTGGTTGAAATCATATTTTTATGTTATGATATAATTAATTTGATCATTAAGCTTAGGACAATAAATATCACAAAAGCTATTTTCGCACTGATATTTCCACTTGAACTGTAACTGTTTGTTTTGGTTTCCACAGATGATTATATTATTATATTATTTTTGAGGATTCACTTTGGACACTTTTTAGACACTAACCAATAGACTTAGGGATCTCATGCTTGGTATCCCTTGCACCACCAACAGCGCGTCAAAACAAAAGGAGCTGATATGTGCCTCCTCTGAGGTCTTCTATGAACACTATTCGCACTTCCCTACATGCACATCTATTTATATTTTGAATGGTCTCGTCTCCGAGCCACCGACTCTGCCGGCGTCGCAGTCGCCGTCGGCAGAGCGGCGGGGCAAAAACAAAGAAAAGCCAAATTCACAACCGCCAGCGGACCAAAGCTTTGCCGCTCTGCCCAGGTGACTTACTCTTGCTCCAGGTGCAAAATGCACGCAGCCGAGGCGCCGCGTCGCTGCCGACGTCCCATTGAAAGCAAAAGTAAAAGCAAAAGCAGAAGCAAAGCAAAAACAGAAGCGAAACAAAAGCAAAAGTCAAGCTGAAAACGAAAACCGCAGAGAGTGAGAGTGGAATGGCGCTCAGCTGATGGAGCTGCCTCACGTTTGGACCGCTCTTGGACCGCCGATGACTGCGCGGATTTTCCCAAGGTAACGCCGCAGCTTCAACAACAATACACAACCACCACAAATACGCATACGTACTGTGGGCCGGCGATTACGGACTGCCATTGGACTCGAGTGCCGTGCGCTGGCTTTGGACCCGGGTGCACGGTTCACTTGAGAGCCATCTTCGCGGCATGGATGGACATCGACATCGACATGGACATGGACAGCAGAAGACCCCGAGGTAGAATGCGAGGTGCTCGTAATTATGATGTTGGCATCGGTGATTGGTCAAGTGCATCACCATCCATGCCCACGCAGCTGAAAATTAAGCAGTGTACTTTCAGCTCGTTATTCTTTAGTGGCTTAATTCGGTACACTGGTAAGTGTTAACCCCGATTTTAGTTTCTAAAATAAATATTTTTATTTTTTTAATCGTTTATTTTGTTTGTGTTATAATTTTTTTCGTTTTAAAGATATTTAAGCGGTATAAAATGTATTTTAAGAATTCCTCGAACTAAATCATTTTTATCGTTAATGGCACGGTGTTACACCATAAATTTAGATTAATAAATTTATATATTTCGATAAATATAAAAATTGTACTTTTTATCAGAAAGGCTTAGTGAAGTAGCTACTGAAAGTTTAACCCAGACGAAATATCCTGTTTGAACTTAATATCGCCTTTTTTTCATACTTGTGATCACAGAGTACAGAGTTTATGACTGTGCAATTTTGATATTTCTGTGATAACCACAGTTTAATAGAAAGAGCTTTCTTACCTAAAGTAAATTTCTTCATTTTGTCATTTCCACCCACATACTACATTTCACATCGGGCTACGGTGTTATAAGATCAATTAATAACTTCAAATGTTTTGAAACAAAATGTTTATATTAACCTAGTCTTAGGATCAAGGTCTTTCGAATAAAACAAGAAAGGAAAGCTAACTTCGGGCGGAGCCGAAGTTGATATACCCTTGCAGAATACTCTGTAAATTATATTCTCCAAAATTATTCATATGATGCATTCTTAATACTCATAAAAAATCCCAACTTCCTAACTTAACAAACACCAAAGTTATTCCGATCAATCAGTTATATGGCGGCTATAGGATATAGTCGGCTGATCCTTATGAAATTTGGTAGGTCGGATTTATTGGCCAAATATAAAACCCATAGAAAATCCCAACTTCCTAACTTAACAAACACCAAAGTTATGGCATTTCCGATCAATCAGTTATATGGCAGCTATAGGATATAGTCGGCCGATCCCGGCCGTTCCGACATATATACTGCGTGCAAAGGAAAGAAGGGTGTGTGCAAAGTTTGAACTCGATAGCTTTAAAACTGAGAGACTAGTTTGCGTAGAAACAGACAGACGGACAGACAGACGGACAGACGGACATGGCTATATCAACTCAGGAGGTGATCCTGATCAAGAATATATATACTTTATAGGGTCGGAGATGTCTCCTTCACTGCGTTGCACACTTTTGACCAAAATTATAATACCCTCTGCAAGGGTATAAAAATTCGCGACTAATTATTAAAAAATGTTCAACATTTTCGGTCTGCGTGGGAAACCAAACCTAATTATAATTTAAATAAAATTGTGAATGTTTTTACCAGCTGTTATAGTAAATCCAAATTACTACCATCAGCCATTAATCTGTACTCCGATTTTGGGGCGTTGTAGTAATTTGGCTTTACTATAATAGCATGTAGCAAACATTCAAATGTACCATAAAGCATTAATCATCATCGTCCACGATCATCCTCAAGTAAGTTAATGGGGAACGAAGTCCACCCCCCGAAAAGCGATCAATCAATGGCGGTGCGAAGTGGTTCACCTCCCGCTGGCAAAGCTATCGATAAGGTCAATTGCTGTGGGCGTGTAGCGCCTGCCGTCGTTACATTTGGCCAAGACGCTAAGTAGTCTTAAGCTGCAGCAATTCGGGCTACGTGCCCGCATTTTATATGGCATGATTAACCATGTCCGACTCTGTGCTCTGAACTTGAGTGACAAACAATTAGCACAGCTCAGCTCGGGCAGTCCAGTTGCTTGCAAAATGACCAGAGGAGGAATTCGGCTAAGCAAACGGAAAACAACAAACGCCATTTATGGACGCGTCGACCTAACCGCTCAAATGGCAAAGCGACCTCCGCGGCATGAAGACGCTAAGCGCCACCAGTGCTAGAGGTGGTTGTGCACTGAAAAAATTAAATATTAGACAAAAAAATTTGATCTATTTAGATCCAATTTCTTAAAGGCCAGCTAATGTTATGGTTTGTAATCAGTCAGTGTATGTCAACATGAAGTCAATTTGTTGGTAAACACAAAACCCCTTTCTTAATGTGATGTCAATAATGAATAACGAGTGCCGATTTGGAATATTTCTCCAAAACAATACCTCTAGCTAAGAGTTTTCTGTTTGATCATCTCTAAGATGAAATTAAGAAAGTTCATGTTTCCGGAACAGCAATTTAACATAATGCCTGACTTGTGAAATCGGCCCTAATAAATGTAATTATATTATTGATCAGCACTCAGAGGTCTTACATGATCTAAATAAATTTAAAAGCATATATTTTTTAAAACGGATTGAATAAATAATTATTTTTTTGGCTTGTAGTCTTTTTGAGTCAGCCGATCCTAAAAATCATATCGTAGTCTCAGAAAGTTAATAGTTGATTTAAAGTAACCAGACCAAATAAGCATTTCATATCGCTCCACATTAAAAATATAAGAAATATTGTCTTAATATAAATATTTGTATATTAATAAGGTATAAGATAATTTTCCAAACTATAAGTAATAATTAGACAGATTTTTTCGGAAACTTCTTTTTATTTAAAATTTTCAGTGATATTCTGGTATTCTGCTTCAATGACTTCCAGGGGCCAAATTAAGTTTTTAGCATGCTGATACGGTGCGGATTTTATGTTTGGTCATTAAGTTTTGATAAATGCGCCAAGACCAAACAGTTGGCAATAATTAACACTTGAGAAGCGGGAAACGGACCAAGTCTGAGTTTGTATATCTGAAATTGGAACTGCACACAGGGCGCATCAAGCTCGAGTTGACCCTTTGAGGCGACTTGATTCGACTGGATCGTAAACAGTATTTTATGCAGAAATTGAATCCGACAGGCCAGAAGTTACATCACAATCCAGGGAGGAGCAGACGGCCTTCAGTGCAGCACTGCAAAAGGAGAAACAGACAAAATGAAGCGTAGCCCCGACATGTAAAGCCAATTTACCAAAAAAACCAAAACTCGAAATTAGCTAAAGAAACACGAATTTAATGAAGAATGTGCAACAGGCTCGGCGCAGCGTTCGGTTCGAATTTTATTTTCGCCCAGTTTGCTTTTTGTTGTGCAAAATGAAATTGAAATTCCTGAAACGTGCCCAGCAGATCTGCGACGACTGCAGACTGCAGACTGTCGACTGACTGGCAATTCGAGTTTCGGTTTGGCTTCCCGCCGAAGATGTCGTGGATGGGGACCGAGATGGAGTCCGCTTTTGGCTAGTTGGCCAAAATCGACGGATCGATGGATGGCTGCAGGCCGCAGGCTCTGGAAACACCTTTCGCTGCGGTCGTCTTGTCCCTGCTCACCCAGTTGCATAATTTACGGCATCTCTTTATTGATCTGGACGTTTATTCGTATGTAGGTTATGCATTGCCTTACATTATGACTATCGGCCAGACAGGTTTCCGCTGCACGGAAGGGAACCGTGTGAAATTGGCTGGAAAACGTCTTAGACTGAGCACTCGATGGTTGCAAGGAAGGAAAAATAAATTAAAGAGAAAGGTTTGATGGGACTGACATTTCGCTTTGAATGTTTTGGCAGTTCGTTCAACTAATCCCATAATGGCCAATTTGTAATGCTGCTAAAGGGAAACGGAGGTGGCAAAGTCGCACGGAAAAAAATAACAGAGTAATATGATTGATAAATTAAAAACTTAAATCTTAATGCTAATATGTAGACCAAAGGAATTTCAAATAACAATCACATTAACGAGAAATTTAAACTTGGCTTTCGAAGGAATTTCAATGTAATGTAGGGGTTCCTGGATATATGCTTATATCACTCATAAAGAAATGGGAAATGTCGCCAAAATTGATAAAAAATATTTATTTTAAAGAATAACATGAGGTACCACAACAAAGCTTGGGAATAATTCTGTACTTTCTACTGGTCTAACGGAATTTATTTATAGGTAATATACTACTAAGATTTAATTAAGTTGTAAAAGATCAGTAGCCCCGTTAAAGCTTAAAAATGCACATAGATAAATGCTAATTGTTGTTGCTGTTAAAGCTTAATTAAAATATAAAATTATTTTCTCACCTCAATAACTTGAGAAATGTTCACCTGCCAATCAAACAATTATTAATTTCAGTTATCTGCTTATTTGAATTACTTCGTCATGATATTTCACATATTCTTTGTTTGACTTTTATTGCATTTCTTGGTAATCAGATGCATTTCCCATCCATGGGCAGCGTATACTTAACTTTATTGCACATACGCCTCATTGAGCGGGACGCTGTTGCAATGCGACAGTCGACTAGAACAATAAGCCATAACAAAATAACACTCACGTTCCCACAT